GTCAGAATTATTAGCCCCTCCTTTGATTTTTTTTCTATTATTTTAAATATTTTCCAAATGATGTGTAACAGAGCAAGGAAATTTTCACAGTGTGTCTGACATTGTTTTTTCTTCTGGAGAAAGTCTTATTTGTTTTATTTCGGCTACAATAAAAGTTGTTTTAAATTTTTTAAACACCATTTTAGGGTCAATATTATTAGCCCCTTTAAGCTATTTCTTAATATCATCATTTCCTCATCCTTCACTTGTTCCAAACCTGTTAGAGTTTCTTTCTTATGTTGAACGTAAAACAAGGTACTTTGAAGAATGTTGGTGGAAAAAACAGCCGCTGACACCCATAGTATTTTTGTTTCCTCCTATTATAAATTTTCCCATTATTTCCCCATAATATCTTGTCTTGTTTTCAACCAAAGCGATAAAACTCATAAAGGTTTTTACATTTTAGGGTGAACTGTCCTTTTAAGTGTAAACAACCTACCACGGTTAAACCATCGTTATACAATAACTTGCCTAATTACCCTAACCTGTCTAGTTAACCTAATTAACCTAATTAAGCCTTTAAATGTCACTTTAAGCTGAATAGAAGTGTTTTGAAAAATATCCAGTAAAATATTATGCACTGTCATCGTGGCAAAGATAAAATAAATCAGTTACTAGAAATAAGTTATTAAAACTATTATGTTTAGACATATGCTGAAAAAGCTGCTCTCTGTTAAACAGAAATTGGGGAAAAAAATGAACAAGGGGCCAAAAAATCTGGGGGGCTAATAATTCTGACTTCAACTGTGTGTGTCCTCTTGCTAGTTAACAGATTTTGCGGCTGCGAATACATCATTACATAAAGACAGAAATGACATTTGGTGAATTATACCTTATAAATACAGTATGCTGATCATTTGGATATGTCCACGTAGCTGAGCAACATAAAAAATGAAGACTTGTGCACCTGCCTTTATGCTTCTCTCCTAAACTTGAAAATATAATTCGCTGAATTGAGGAGATTCTGGATTAGGATTGTATAGGGGGTTGAATCGAGATCACAATTTCTCGATTAAGCATGCAGCCCTAGTTTTAGTTCTTCTCTGACACTTTCGCACCAGGTTGGTTTGCATTGAAACATTATTAACTATAACCAGACACTATTTTATAACAGCAGAAAAGCAACGCTGTGTTATCTTGAAGTTTGATAACATTTTCTAAAATCACCACAAAATTAGAAAAAAATGAATACTTTTGTATTTTCTGTACACATTTAGGGTACAACGATTGCTCTTCGAGTCAGTTTTGACCCGCCAGCTATAAAACCATTTTTATATTTTGCATGCACTGACACACACACACACACACACACACACACACACACACACACAAACACACACACACAATAATATTCTTTTAAACTTTTATGAATACTCTCTTGCTAAAACAAATTTTTGCATTCGAAATTCAATTCAATTCAGCTTCATTTGTATAGCGCTTTTAAGGCTGATTTATACTTCTGCGTCAAACACCGGCGTATGCTACGGCGCTGACGCATAGCCCTTCGCCGTGGCCATCGGCATCACTGACGTGCACCTCTCAAAAATTGTAACTACACGTCGCAACAGCGCGTAGCGCAAGCTCTGTGATTGGTCAGCTTGGTAGCGTTGACGAGTCTGGGCGGGACCGAGAGCCGCGCGAATGGCGCGAGCGATTGTTTACAAGTGTGGAGTCCCGTGAAGGAGCTCCGGATGGAAAGTTTTGTTTTGTGTTTACCTCATAGTTAAAGTTGTTGCATGTCCCCCGGTTCCTGCCTCAAAATGAGCGAGTTTGAGCCACTTGTACATCCCGGAAGTGTTCAGGAGAAGCAAAAAAGCAGTGAAGAAACTCGACACAGAGGAACATTTACACCTCACTGCCCACTAGCGTTTCGGAAGTGTTAATGCAGACCAACAGAGACAGCGCGCAGAAGTATAAATGCACAGCTACGCGCGTTGCATGCGTCGTGGGTTACGCCGGTCACTTGACGCAGAAGTATAAATCAGGCTTTACAATGCAGATTGTGTCAAAGCAGCTTCACATAAATGGTCATAGTAACTGGATCAGGGTAGTTCAGTTTTTAGTGTTTAAGTTCAGTTCAGTTTAGCTCAGTTCAGTGTGGTTTAAAGTCATTACTTAGAGTCCAAACACTGAAGAGAAAATTCATCGATGCGTAGCTCTACAGATCCAGAAATGATACCCTTTATTTTAGTCACAAATGCGATGGCTATTAACGAATTACTGCACACTGATAAGATAAAACCTACACATTTACAGAGTATGTGATGAAGTTCAGGTTGTTTCTTCATGCAAAATAGATTTGACGATTGAAATTAAATGTAGCTGCTTTATTACAGAGGTTTAGTGCAGGAGGGCCAGTTTTTTGACCCAAAGGGGCAAACGGTGTGTATAGTATTCTAAGACAACAAGAGAGGTTAATTAATCGTGTTAGCAGCCATTACTAAAATTATGACTTATGAGCTTATGTCTAACATAGTTGCACATCATCTCTGGATATTGCACGGCAATGCTATTGTGCCTCATACTGATCATAGCACATCTGTTCACGTGCCACTGTCATACTTTAAACTCTGTGTTTCTGTCACTCTATTCTCCTAGTCACACCGCTCACTCTGACCTTAACATTGTATTACCGATTAACTTTTAACATTGCATACATAATAATTTAATACAGTCCGATATGATCTGAGATCTCTGATAAATAGTGTTAAGTAATGCACTTTCAAAAATAAAGCTGAAAATGCTGTCAGGTGACCACATGCTTTTAAATAATATGTATTAAGGAGTCACTAATATGTGTGGTTTAGGTATAAATCAGATGCACAGGACTGTAGCTTTTGAACTTTTTCTTTCCTGTAACGTTCACTGCAACATAAATGTGTCAAACCATTAACATGAACTAATTTAACATTTCTAATGCAGTCAGTGTGGTGTTGAAGTTAGAGTTATCAAAACTCTGTTGTCTGTTAGTTGAGGTGACTTGCTATGTAAATGGATGCACACAAAATAAACTGTAAACTGCAAACATCCCTGTAGAATTTAAAGGAACAGTTCACTCAAATCTGAAAATTCTGTCATCATTTCCTCATCCTTCACTTGTTCCAAACCTGTGTGAGTTTCTTTCTTACGTTGAACGTAAAACAAGGTACTTTGAAAAATGTTGGGGTTAAAAACAGCCGCTGACATCCATAGTATTTTTATTTCCTCCTATTATAAATTTTCCCATTATTTCCCCATAATATCTTGTTTCGTTTTCAACCAAAGATATAAAACTCATAAAGGATTTTATATTTAAGGGTGAACTGTCCTTTTAAGTGTAAACAACCAACCATGGTTAGCATAATGTGTTAGAAATACTATGAATACCAATACAGCTACTGTTATATTCACAATAATCAACCTGCTGACAATAAACGTATCCAATATTTCATGACTCTGTACATTTGACAGTAGGATTATGCTTTTGTGTGTACATATTTAGGCATCACTTCATTTTGATGGTCCCTTTAACACATTTTGTTGATTAAAATTTACACTGCCTCCCTGTGTTGGCGTGGATTTCCTCCGGTTTCCCCCACAATCCAAAGACATGCAGTATAGGGGAAGTGAATAAACTAAATTGGCTGTAGTGTATGTGTGTGAATGCAAGAGTGTGTGTGTATCCCAATGTTGGGTTGTGGCTGGAAGGGTATTCCCTGTGTAAAACATATGCTGGATAAGTTGGCGGTTCATTCCGCTGTGGCGACGCCTGATTAATAAAGGGACTAAGCGGAAAAGAAAATGAATGAATGAAGTTGCATTGTACATGCCAAGTCATTCTCATTAGTGTATTAGTACACTGCATGTAAGCTTAGGGTTAGTGTACATTGAATTGTTTTTGTGAGGCTTCTAATAATCAATCTGTTCAGGATACAGGTCTTGCTATTAAAAAAAAAACTTTAACTAAGACTTTTAGCTTAGTTAACAACTAATTTGCTGCTTATTTATAGTTAAAATAGATCATACTAGTATAAAAGCCAATATCTTAATAATAGGCAGTAATAAGTCAATAGTTAAGGAGACTGAAAAGGCTGCCATTATTGACACTTGTTTCAAACCTGTTTGAGCTTTCCTGTGTTAAACACAGTGATATATTGTTTTACAAAAAGCTGAAAATCTGTAACCATTGAGATGCACAGTATTTGTTTTTTCGGTCCCACTTTATATTGTGGCCTTAACTAATATGTACTTACAAGCGAACTAATAGTTTGTTACAATGTACTTATTGTGTAAATACATGTATTTACTGTGTACTTATGCTTGATTAAATACATGTATGTAATTACATCTGTAATTACCTTTTATAATTACATTTGTAAATACACTGTTGACCATCCCTTACACCTTAACCTACCCTTAAACCAACCCCTGCCACCAAACCTGTCCATAACCCAACCTCTATTCCAACCCAAAAGCACCACAAGTGTTCTCAAATACATTATAAACACAGTAAGTACATTGTATTTATTTTTTTGATGTAAGTACATAGTAGTTAAATACACTTAATATAAAGTGGGACCGTTTTTTCTACCATAAGTGAATGGTTACCGCTTTTCAGCTCTCTTTAAAATCTCTTCTTTGGTGCAGTATTCAACATGGGAGAAAAATAAAGGGTTAAAACCTCTTGAGGGAGAGTAAATAGTGAGTAATATTTCAATTTTGGGTGAACTATCCACTTGCCATTCAAACTAGAGTTATCCAGTGTTCTAATGAGAACTAGTTGGCATGTTGTGCAATGTAACTCATAGCCAACAAAATGAGACCATCAAAATAAAGCAATACCTTGCGTTCACGCTTACACAGGTGTGTCCCGCAGGGTGCCAAGATGATGAGGCAAAAGGGCCGCTCAAAAAGCTGCTGGCCATAAAGAAACCAGTGCACCGGAAAAGTAACAGTATGTGTGTGTGAAAATGAAGTCTTACCCCGCAGGAGTCCCGTCGTTACAGGTGACCGATGTATTCTCCAGAAAGTGTAACTTCATGTCGTAGTCGAGCTTCTGGGCCGAGCAGGGGTAGAGGGACTGCGCCAGGTTCTTCACCTGAGTCATGAAGTTGTCCATGTTTTCCTCCACGGCTGTGAAATCCAGTGAGAAGCTCTCGGTGGTCTCTCCGCGGTCCCGGTAATGAGCGGAGGGCAGCGCTCGCCGCGGCTGCGGGTTTCGACCTCCGCGGAACCTCCGCGCACCAAGCGCGCCGCACTGAACCAAAGCCAGCATCACCGCCCAGTGGAGGACCTGCATCACCCAGAGGCTCCTCTTCATCGCGCAAAAATCCGGAGGTGATGCTGAGAATCTTCTGAACCACAAGGCAAAATTTAAAAGCAAACAAACACTGAGTCAACACGGCAGAACAGGTGAGCAGAATTCACAAGTCCTCCAAGTTCTCTCCTGCGCTGACCTAAAGCCTCTCCTCGGGCTCTTGTGTTGCGCTGTAGCACCTGTGCATTGAACCGCTCTGGGTTTTAACCCTGCTCTCTTTCCCTTCAGCCAATCGCTGTGGAGGGCAGTGCGGCGGGGCGTGATCCAGTCGCACTACTGATTCCTGTCCTCTTCGTTTATTGAAGAAAAAAAAATGCCCATAGTTTGGTCGTTTTGAACTGCGATATTTTGCTTGATGTGGTAGCTTTTATTGGCATTGAAATGGCTGTTTCCTAATCCACGCGAATTTATAGAGTGAGAATAAGTCTCTTTTGACACTCATACTTTGGAAAAAATAGCTTACATATAAATACATAGAGAGAGAATAGCGTGAGCATCTACAGGCGTCGAGGGAACTTATAATGCACATGACTACTTTATTAATAGTAGCCTATCGTAATTTTGTAAATGCATCTATTATTTGGAATTTATGCTTTAAAATTGGGCTGTTTAATGTCCAATTGTGCTTTTTTTGTATGGAGAATTTAAATGTAAAGACAAAGTTTTTAATGATCTCTTATTTAATGACTATTAAAAGAAAAACACAAGTCATTCAGTGTAAATTGTTTTTAAAATAAATAAAAAAATTTAATAAAAAAATATTGTCAGATATTTAGATCAACAAACATTTCAGGGCTGCGTTTCCCAAAAGCATCGTAAGCCTAAGAAGTTCGTAGAAATGATCGTACGACTGATCTTAATATTACGGTCTGTTTCCCAAAAGCATCGTAACTTAAGTAGCACTTGAAAATCTTCGTGGATCTACGAGTGCTCTGGAGTAATCGTAAAGCCTTAAGTGCATCGTAAGGAGACAGAGTTATGAGGGCACCTGCTGGACAACCGGCAAATTGCACCTACAATTTACTTCTCTTCAAAGTCATTATTCATTTTATTTGTACGTATATCTCTATTCATTTATATTTTCTACACATTACACAATTCAATATACAAATAATAATAATTAATAATTAGGCTAAACTTTTCAAAAATAAATGTAAGAGCTTATTTATTTATTTATTTATTTACTTATTTATTTATTTTGATGTGAGATAAGCAATTTTTGATAAAGAAATTGATAAATAATACTACTTAATTAAGGTTTCATATAAATATCGAAAATGATGCTGATGTCATTTCCGGCAAGGACTGTTAGAATTAGTTTTATGCGAGATTGGAGCAAGACGGTGTTTTTACAGTACGACATTTCCAGTTAATTTATGTTTTTAAACTGGCTCAAAAATATTTTTTTTTATGTTATTCGAGTTGAATATACATTCACACAAGTAGAAGAAGAATTATATGGATTGCTATAACATGTGCAACAATAACGAGCCATTCTATAGCGTGACATTTCAGCACTTAACAAACGGATAGCGACTCCTAAGTTGCACTTAAAGCTGGGCTACGTGCAATTGTGTTAAGTGCATTTTTGGGAAACGCACGTGAAACAATAACGAACGTTCGCAAAATGACTCGTAGAAAACGCTCTTAAGTGCTAAGATCAATCGTTATCGGGAAACGCAGCCCTGATCATTTAAGCTTTTTGATTACCAAAACGTTACTACCAAACGGTTGACCATGTTTTTACTGTTTTAAAAAATGACTATTAAATTAATTTAAAGCTTAATATAAGTTAAACAATAAGTTAAAGTTTAATATAAAGTAAAAGTTTACACGCACTGCATTGTTGCATTTTTTATCCTGTTGCACTACAACACTTGATTTTGGTCTTATTGTAAAAAAGAAGAAAAAAGAATGTTAAATAAAGATCTGAAATATTTCATGAAATAATGGTGATTTAGTATTTAAAAATGCTTTACTTTAATTATATTTTTAAATAAATTGGTGTTTCAAATTTTCATGTGTGTTAAATCCGGTACTTTTACCATAACGACGTATCAACCATTTGGTAGAGGCTGATATTTTAGAAATCATGTGATGTGTTGGGGAAAAGAAATGCATTAACTGTGTTAACTAGTGACATTAGGAGTTAAGATGTTTTTCTTGGTGGGTTAAAGGTTTTATGTATTTTTATTTAATTTTTTACTTTTTACTTTATTTTTATTTTATTGCAATTGTAGAACACAGAACATACAAGGGACAATAACATTAAATTGACATCAAAACAAATACAATATAAGAAGAAAATAAATAAATAAATAAAATTATTCAAAAAGTAAAATTGAAGGCTTTAAAATAATTAACAGTTCTTTTTGCTTTGGCATTTTTTTTTGTTTCTTTTATAGTGCATTGATAATGACCTATTTCTATTTTAAAGTGAGTAAAAGTAGTTTTTTCACTGCCCATTTACATTTATGAATAAAAAATTCTATATATAATGAGCGAATTAACAATATACCTCATTTTAAAGTTGACTGTATTCTCATTTAAAAAAAATATTTTAATAAATTTGTTTGAGCTCCAATGCAATATTCCTACTCTGCTTAACAAAACAAACAAACAAAAAAATAAGATCACACCAAAACAATTGGTTATACATACAATCTATAAAATAATTGAACAATACTCTCTTCTTTATCATTACAGAAAGCACATTTTTAATCAACATCTTTACAACATTTTGTAGTTAATGGGTTAAAGACTTGCCTTTTTTGCCACTCCAAAAAAATATTATAAAATAAGTAAATAAATCAAATCTCATTTGGAGATTTTATAATTTGCCACAATTTTTAAAAAAGTTTGTTTTATATTTTTAAATATAGTAAAATGGTTATGGTTATTTATTCTTTATGGCTGTTTTAACACGCACAAACCAGCTGCTTTTTTCCTACTTTCTATATTTCTTTCTTTTTGATATAAATAGCCAACATCTTACACTGAAATACAATTAAACATTATTGAATCGACATACTGATATTTTAGTTCTAATCAAGAGCTTTTTAAAACAATAAATTTGACATCTCACTTGCATTTAATCCTTAATCACTTTTGTTAGACGCTTCAAAATGTCCTGAATTTCCTACATTCCTCTGTCCAGCACATCAGCTGTAGTCTGCGCGTCTCCAGCGCGCGCGCGGGAAAGCTCCGGGACAGTCGTGCGGGTGTTTTGTCAGCACAAGAGATTCCGCGACTCTTTTTTTGTTTTGTTTTATCTGCGGGAGTCTGCTGACGGGGCCCCTGGAGATCAAAGGAGCCCGTCATCATCACTCCTCCGCCCTCATGAAGCCCCATCCAGACTTTCCCCACTGCTGAAGGTTTGGAGTCGGAAGGGAAACCCGCACCTTACAGGAATGCTTTTTGTGGGTATAAATTTAGCCCTTCCTGAGGTATTTTATGCCGGTATTTTAAACCGGCAAACACACTTTCTGTCCCCTGCTCCTTCATATTGATGTCTTGATTAAGTGCCTTCACACAGCTTCAGCCATTAATCGGCCATTGTGGATTGAGATAGAAGGGCGTCGCGCCACACTTTTCACTTGTTTCAGAGCAGACTCCCTCATGCATGCAGGGCTGTGGAAATGGGGGGATACTCGGCCATTCGCTTCGATTCATCCCGTCGCCTTTTTTGTTCACATGCTAAACACTTGAAGAATGGAGCAGTCATCCCCTATTCAGACAGGCCAATAAACACTCAAGCTCATCCTACTGTAGGTTATCCAAAAAGCAGTTGGACTAGTTTACTTAAAGGGACAGTTCATCCAAAAATTAAAATGTACTCATGTTGGAAAGTGTTTTTCAGCCATTGATAAACCTCCGGTGAAATGTTGATGTATCTATTTGCAATTTCATAAGGTTCATTTTACGGCATCGATAATGTTGCCTATACTTCAGTTAAAATATAGTGCCTTAAATAGACTTCAGCAGTTGTTCTATAGTGGAAAAGACAAGGAAATGCTGCCCGGAGCAGCAGGTAAGTGCTTAAACTCAACTGGAAATAATATGAAAAAAAATCTATTTTCTTTAAGACATAGCACAGAACATTGCTCTGTTCAGTTCAACAGAAGAGAAGCGCTCTTGCTCAGCACAGTGGAAATCACTTTAGTTATATCATTTTGTAATATTTTAGTCATTTCGGATGCAGTGACACGAAGTCAAATACTTTGCCGATCACATGCACCACCTTTGACACATAAATAATCCAACACAATCTCACGGCAGTTCGTAACTTTTTGATTTAGCGGCTAATTCTTACAATTTAGTACGATTTGCTCATCCCCCAATGACAGTTGGGTTTAGGGGTGGGTTTAGGTGCCACACCTCCTTTTTAAAATCGCACAATTTTGTACGATTTTTGTACGAATTTGCCACTAAACTGGCAAAACGTAAAATACTTACTTTTTCTCCTGAGATCAGGCTGAAATAATCTTAAATGTCCTCTTGCTGCACGTATTAGGAGGTTAGGAGCTGCTGTGCAGTGAGGGGTTTGCCTCTTTAATAAACTATGACAGTTTACGTTCATTGAACAGTAAGAATGATTAATAAATCCATATGAAACAGCCCCTTAAAAGTCACGTCTCACTTTCAGTTTTGGGCTTATGTGCGTTTTACACTCACACACAAGCATACCACGCCAAAGCCCAAGTGAACCACGCTCAGGCACACCTCCTCCAACCGGGCCCAGGCACGGTTCACTTGACCGTGAGACTTGATTTAGAGCACTCACACTTTTCAAACAATCCAGGAAACGGGCCTGGGCACGATACGGATGGCATAGTGTGAGTACACCCTTAGTTTCTGTTTGAATTTCAAGAGTGTTCACACAGTAATTTTATGTAATCTAATCTGAGAGTGACGTTTTTAGTTTTGTTTAAATCCTATTATATAAATCACAAACGACTAGGAAAATTGGTAACACTTTATAACAACTACACACTATAAATCTT